CTTCAACATCGCGTGGCGGTCGGGGACAGTACCTCTGGACTGGCAAACCGGGGTGGTGGTCCCTCTGTATAAGAAGGGGGACCGGAGGGTGTGTTCCAATTACAGGGGAATCACACTCCTCAGCCTTCCCGGTAAGGTCTATGCCAGGGACTGGAGAGAGAATCCGCCCGATAGTCGAACCTCGGATTCAGGAGGAGCAGTGTGGTTTTCGTCCTGGTCGTGGAACACTGGACCAGCTCTACACTCTCCATCGGTGCTCGAGGGTTCATGGGAGTTTGCCCAACCAGTCCACATGTGCTTTGTGGATCTGGAGAAGGCATTCGACCGTGTCCCTCGTGGTGTCCTGTGGGGGGTGCTCTGGGAGTATGGGGTCCGGGGCCCTTTGCTAAGGGCTGTCCGGTCCCTGTATGACCGGAGCAGGAGCTGTGTTCCCATTGCCGGCAGTAAGTCAGACCTGTTCCCGGTGCATGTTGGACTCCACCAGGGCTGCCCTTTGTCACCGGTTCTGTTCATTGTTTTTATGGACAGAATTTCTAGGCGCAGTCAGGGGTCGGAGGGGGTCCGGTTTGGGGACCACAGGATCATCTCTGCTGTTCACAGATGATGTTGTCCTGTTGGCTTCATCGAGCCAGGACCTGCAGTGTGCACTGGGGCGGTTTGCAGCCGAGTGTGAAGCGGCTGGGATGAGACTCAGCTCTTCCAAGTCCAAGGCCATGGTTCTCGACCGGAAAAAGGCGTCTGGCCCTCTCTGGGCAGGTGGAGAGTCCCTGCCTCAGGTGGAGGAGTTCAAGTATCTCGGGGTCTTGTTCATGAGTGAGGGGAGGACGGAACGTGAGATTGACAGGTGGACAGGTGCAGCTTCGGCAGTGATGCGGTCACTGTATCGGACCGTTGTGGTGAAGAGGAGCTGAGCCGAAAGGCAAAGATCTCGATTTACCGGTCAGTCTTCGTTCCTACTCTCACCTATGGTCATGAGCTCTGGGTAGTGACCGAAAGGATGAGATTGCGGATACAAGCGGCCGAAATGAGTTTCCTCCGCAGGGTGGCTGGGCATCTCCCTTAGAGAGTGAGGAGCTCAGTCACACAGGAGGAGCTCGGAGTAGAGCCGCTGCTCCTCCACATTGAGAGGAGCCAGTTGAGGCTCGGGCATCTGTTCCGGATGCCTCCTGGACGTCTCCCTCGGGAGGTGTTCTGGGCATGTCCCACTGGGAGGAGGCCCCGGGGAAGACCCAGGACACACTGGAGGGATTATGTTTTTGAACTGGCCCCCAGAAGAGCTGGAGGACGTGTGCGTGGAAAGGGAAGTCTGGTTGTCCCTGCTTAGACTGCTGCCTCTGCGACCCGGCCCCGGATAAGCGGAAGAAAATGGAATGGAACATTCGTGACCTGGTCTTGATCAAAACAGTCACTGACGCCCACACTCCATCTCCCATCGTGTTGCCATGGGAACAGGTCAAAAATCAGTCCTCGCCAATGGGACGTCCCAAAAAATCACTGACATACTCAAACCAAATTTGGTCCACAGATGCATCATGGGAATAGGAACAAAAAAGTATATTGTGACGATGCCCCCTGCCAAACCAGACGTCCACCATCTTGGATAAAAAAAAAAAAATCAGCACATACAGAAAATGAGAAAAATTTTACGATTCGGTTAAGATTGGTTAAGGTTAGGATTAGGTTAGGGGTAAAGGTTCGGCCTAGGGTCAGAGCTACAGTTAGGGTTAGGGGTTTAGGGGTTAGGGTGAATTGAGGAGTTAGCTCAAGGGGTAAGGTGCATTCGTGGGGCACGGCATGTGCAGGGTGAGGGTGGCGTGGGAGCGCCGTAGGCTCGAGCGAGGGCCAATCATCGCCGCTTGCGGCTATATTTATTACTATTATTAATATTGTGAAGTGTCTTGCCCGAGGACACAGAGGCAGGTTTAGTTTTTGTTTTTTGTTTTGGCGCCCCCTGTGGTCGCTGCTCGTCCCTGCGTCCTGAAAAACCCGAGTCAAAAAAAAAAACAGAACAGATTTATTCAAAATATTTTATTAACAAAAACACGAAAATAAAGACAAAATGGCAACAAAAGACCAAGACCAGGACCAAGACCAAGACCAGGACCAAGACCAGGACCAAGACCAGGACCAAGACCAGGACCAGGACCAAGACCAGGACTAAGACCAGGACCAAGACCAGGACCAAGACCAGGACCAGGACCAAGACCAGGACCAAGACCAGGACCAAGACCAAGACCAGGACCAAGACCAGGACCAAGACCAAGACCAAGACCAAGACCAGGACCAAGACCAGGACCAAGACCAGGACCAAGACCAGGACCAAGACCAGGACCAGGACCAAGACCAGGACCAGGACCAGGACCAAGACCAGGACCAAGACCAGGACCAGGACCAGGACCAGGACCAGGACCAGGACCAGGACCAGGACCAGGACCAAGACCAGGACCAAGACCAGGACCAGACCAGACCAAGACCAGGACCAGGAACAAGACCAGGACCCAGACCAGGACCTGTGTGGAGGCCTGTCAGCATAAAAACATTGATTCTTTGCGGCGTTGTCACTCTGGGGGTGTTCTACATCTGTCTCTGTGGCAGAATGTTTAGCAGTTTCCATGGAGACGAAACGCACAAACGCACGTCTTAACAAAAACCGTCAGTGCTGTAAAGAGCCAGTGTCCCTGTGGTCAGAGTTCAGGGCCACGGCGCCGCAGACGGAGCCGCAGACGGAGCCGCAGACGGAGCCGCAGACGGAGCCGCAGACGGAGCCGCAGACGGAGCCGCAGACGGAGCCGCAGACGGAGCAGTGCCTACAGTTAGCATCACAGCCCCAGAGAAACACCACAAAGATTTACACAAGTTCAACAAAACTTTTTTTACTCTACTGAAGATTTGTCTATTTGTACTTTTAAATTCATTTAAAGTTTGTATGGACGATTTTTTTTTGTTTCAAATAGTCAGTGATAGATTATAGATGCAGTCGCCTTGTAATTATGATGACCAAAAAAAAGAGAATAAAAGTTCATCAACTCTGGACGTGGTGGGGCTAAACATTTGCCAATAGATAAAGACACTGCCTCGTTATCTGTGAGCTGACAGGCTGTCAATCAAACTCCCTACGTTTCTAGTGTAACTGACTTGCCTGCGCCGCCGGTACGTGGTTTACGTACGACACAGACGCTGTTTACTCCACCAACGCAACAGTTCTTAGCGGCTTTTTTTGACCTATATCTTCCTCGCAGTTCACACAAAGTTTGTTGCGATGGCGACAAGAATCCAGGAGCAGTTCGCCGCAAAAGAAAGTCCGTTTTTGAGGTGAAAGAAGAAGACAAGGGGAAAAGCAGCGAAGACAAACTAAGGTGATTCTTGTAGATTCATTCCAGCGATGGAGCGACTGAAGCAGACGAAGAGTCTAAAGACTGAACCACTGGTCCACAAATTACTCCTGGACAGGAAACTTCTGCTTATTATGAAAACCTACTTTATTTCCAAGAGCGAGACAAACGTTTTTCAGGACATGAAAGTGATATCCTATGTCTGAAAACGTCATTTTCAAGGCAAAGAAAGAGTCCACCTGCTGCTGCGTGTTGTAGTTAGTTCATTCGCACTGAATCTCCGCGCACTCTTCTCTGCACCCCTTTCCTGCTCCTGTCCCCGCTGCCCGATCCACTCTTCTCCCTGCTCCTCACTTCTCCGTCTTGTCTAACCAACACTGTAGTTAGTTGTTTACAAGTCATGTGCAGCGATGAGGACTTGTTTTCTAGAAACAAACCTGTTTGTGGCGTAAGGAGGAGGAGGGAGGAGGTGTTTCTCCGTAGGAGCTGTGGGGGGGGGGAGGTGGTTTCACGCAGGAGCAACATTTGACAAAGGACAAACAGTCGCTGGATTCTCCTTCCTTGGAAAATCCTCTGTACAACCTTTAAACTCTATTTCTGTTCTACTCACTGTTTTACACATAAAAAAAAATATTTTACTCTTTTATTTTCTTTGGATTCTGATTTGTTGTTTTATGTTAAAGCACATTTCAGGTTTATGGCAAAAAAAAAAGAGAGACAATTTTGTTTCTGAAATAAGCATAAACCAGAACTAAACCAGGTCTACAACAGGACCAGACCAGGATTAAACCAGGACAAATCAGGACTAATGCAGGCCCGACCAGGACTAAATCAGGTCTAACCCAGGACTAAGCTAGGGCCAGACCAGGACTAAACCAGACTGAGACCAAACCAGGTCTAAACCAGGTCTAAACCTGGACTGAACCAGGTCTAAACTCTTCTTGTCTGTGTTTCTCGTGTTGTTCGTGTTCGAGTTTCGTGGCTCAGATTATAAAAACAGAACTTTTCACACAAAAACAAACATTTACTGCATTTTTCACATAAATAAATAAAATTCAGAATGAGGCAAATTTACAACAAAAAAAGTCTTTAAATAAAAAAATCAACCCAGAAATCACCAAGGCCCAAAACCAACAAAATCCAGAGTCCAGAGACACGACTGGAGCCGCACCAGGTCCATCCACACTCCAGTACTGCCTTGTGCTTGTACTTGTACTTGCACTTGTACTTGCACTTGTACTTGCACTTGCACTTGCACTTGCACTTGCACTTGCACTTGCACTTGTACTTGTACTCGTGGTTGTCCAGTGAGGTTCATGTAGTTTTCAGTTTCTTTATTTTAATCGATTTTTCTTCCAGACCAAGTTTTATTTTGTTTGACAGATTAAAACAAAGCACAAACCAGAACTAAACCAGAACTAAATCAGGTCTAAACCAGGTCTAAATTAGGACTAAACCAGGACTAAACAAGGACTAAACCCAAACTAAACCAGGACTAAACCAAGGTACGAAGGTACAAAGCTCCGCCCTGGTCTGGAGGAAAAACGGAATAAATTAAAAATAAGAGTGTGTTCCGTTTTGTGTTCCGTCATGCGTTCCAGTGCGTTCCGGTGGGTTCCGGTGTGTTCCGGTGTGTTCCGGTGGTTCCGGTGGGTTCCGTGGAGAGTTTCAGGGCAGTTTGGCGCAGTTCTGCATCACCCATCCCGACGCGTTCACGTCCAGTTTGAGCAGCTGCATCACCCACTCGTCCTTCTGAGCTCCCTCCATGAACTCCGCCAACGTGATCTGACCTGTAACCACGGAAACACACCAAGATTTAACACACAACACACACACAACATGAACTCCGCCAACGTGATCTGACCTGTAACCACGGAAACACACCAAGATTTAACACACAACACACACACAACATGAACTCCGCCAACGTGATCTGACCTGTAACCACGGAAACACACCAAGATTTAACACACAACACACACACAACATGAACTCCGCCAACGTGATCTGACCTGTAACCACGGAAACACACAAACACACCCAGATTTAACACACAACACACACACACTAGAGCCCGACTGATATATCGGTTGGCCGATATTATCGGCCGATATATTTGCTGATAGGGGCCGATATTTCACGTGGGCAGGTTATACGTCGTTATAAATCTTAGACTCTACTGTTCATTTAATCCAATTTACAGACAGATAAATGTTCAAATATGTGACTCCACATCAGTGTTTATCTGTGGAGTCATTTGTGTGTGTGTGTGTGTCTGTGTGTGTGTCTGTGTGTGTGTGTGTGTGTGCGTGTGTGTCCATACTGTCCCTGAACACACACAGAGTCGCGTCACTTCACTCATGTGTGTTTGTTTACACCCACAGACTCAGATCCAAACACTGACATTATTTTCTTTTTACAGACGGTTTGAGTCTGGATTAAAAGAACATTTATTAGTTCAGACTTGTGATGTGGGAGGAGCCTGTGTGTGTGTGTGTGTGTTATTAGTTCAGACTTGTGATGTGGGAGGAGCCTGTGTGTGTGTGTGTTATTAGTTCAGACTTGTGATGTGGGAGGAGCCTGTGTGTGTGTGTGTGTGTGTTTATTAGTTCAGACTTGTGATGTGGGAGGAGCCTGTGTGTGTGTGTGTGTGTTATTAGTTCAGACTTGTGATGTGGGAGGAGCCTGTGTGTGTGTGTGTGTGTTATTAGTTCAGACTTGTGATGTGGGAGGAGCCTGTGTGTGTGTGTGTGTTATTAGTTCAGACTTGTGATGTGGGAGGAGCCTGTGTGTGTGTGTGTTATTAGTTCAGACTTGTGATGTGGGAGGAGCCTGTGTGAGGCTGAAATATGTCGACTTTGAAGCTGGTTTTGGTTATTTGTTATTGATGATCTGCTGTAGCTCCGACACATAATCAGTCTGTTTTCTATTGGTCTGTTGTAAATTGACTCTATTGTTCGTATATTTGTGACTGGAGCTGCACTGATGTAAATGAGCTGTGAATAGAGGTGTGAATGATCCACATTTACACATAGAATTAATGACCGCGGCGCACACGTATTTACGGCTAAAGGCTAATAGTGCTAGTTTCTTTACTAGTTATGGATCAGTCGTGAATGAAGCGGCTCTTAGATCCGGCTCTTTGAAGGGAACAACAGGAGCCTGATCCTTATTAGGAGCCGTGTTTTCTCTTTCTCTTTCTTCACGTCGTGTTCAGACTCGTGGGAGTTTGACAGCAGCAGCGTCTGAAAACGAAACTTTGAGAAATTTGCGTGTGCATAGGATAAAAAAAAAACGTGCATGTTTGGCTGTAGTTTAGCATAAAATAAATAAACCAGGACTAATCTTGGGCACAAGATAGAGACCGAGTCCCGACACTCAGTCCTGGTTCAGTTCTGGTTTAGTCCTGTTTTACACATGGTTTAGATCTGTTTTAGTCCCGGTTTAGTCCTTTTTCAGTCCTGGTTCAGTTCTGGTTTAGTCCTGTTTGCAACAAAACAATCTGAAGAGTCACTTGGGAGCCGAAAGAGCCGTCTGCTTTTAGTGAGCCGAGCCAAAAGAGCCGGTTCTCTAAAAAGAGCTGGAATCTCCGTCACTCATGTCTAGAATGTGACGATGTAAAAATGTCATTAAGCCAAACTTCTGTCTGTAAATCTGACGTAAAGAAGCAGAAGAACAATAAATGTTTCCTAAATAAACCCAATTTAAAATCCACTAGAGCCAAACCGAAGTTTTTTAAACAATTCAACATTTACAGTCAATTTTTACATCACTAAATATATCGACGATTATATCGACAGCTCCAACTCCTGTTTTATCAGTTTCATATCGGCCACAACAAAATCCATATCGGTCTGGCTCTAACACACACAACACACACACACAACACAACACACACACAACACACACAACACACACACACACACACACACACACACAACACACACACACACACACACACACACACACACACACACACACACACACACACACACCACACACACACACACACACACACACACACACACAACACACACACACACACACACAACACACACACACACACACACACACACACACACACACACACACACACACACACACACACACACACACACACACACACACACACACACACACACACACACACACACAACACACACACACA